GTTCGGGGAGGGAGGGAGGGAGGGAGGGGATTCTTCTTACCATTCTTGACTTGGATGGCGGAGCCTTGTCCCTGCAGGTGGACCACGGCCGGCTGCAAAGGAAGGAGAAGGAAGGGGCAGCGGGTGAGGCTCATGTGCGTTGCTGAGGAGCGGGGCTGAAGGGTGGGTTCTGCTTAAAGGCGGGCCCCACTTTGCCCCCCAAGTGTCTGTTCAGAAGCTGGCCGTTTGCACAAAGACACCTGGTATCACACAATCGCGACAACCCTGCCAGGTGGCACGCCCTTTATCATAACTCCGTAACGCTGCACTCGGACAGAATGTTCCAAGGCAAGCAGTGCCAGCTACAAGAAAGCGGAAATAGAGAGGGAGGCGTTGCATGTGCCTCCAGTTGGAAAAATACAGTTCTGATGGACATGTGTTCACAGCACAGTGCTCTCAAGGGTGAAGAAAATACAAGCGTGGACCTAGGGCTAAGTGAATCATTTCCCCTCCTGAGAGAAGCATGGGAGTGAGTGGCTTGTCTGTGCACTCCCTCTTTGCCGTGGGCTTGCTCTCTGCCATTTTTGATAGCCTGCCATGATGATCTCTTTGCATCTGTAATCCATCACCATACTCACTGTGTGAGTACCTTGCTGTGTTTGGAGTATCTCTGTATACTGATGGCAGACCTGTAAATAGTGATAGGTACCAACGCCGGAAGACTCAACCTCCAAAGGAGTTTGGAAGAAAGCCTGAGCTCAAGCTGGTGAGCTACTACTATATAAGGTCAGAGGCTGTGGTACAAAATCCCTGTTAACTGTGACCAAGACTCTGCAGTGTTTTGGGGATTGGATTCCTTGTGCGTGTTTTTACTCTTCTCCTCTATTCCACCCCGGCTGACAAGCAGCTCATCTGGCCCAATATCAGCTCAGCCCTTCCTTATCAGCCGCTTCCTAATGAGCAGAATGAAAAATCCTGCGCAGCTCTTCAACCTTATCTCTTTAACGAGACACCAGGACTTTTGAAGGTTTTATTTGCGTCTCGTTGCATCTGAGCAGTCTGTTTACACAGTCACCGGGATACTCACAATCCCACCCTCCTTCATGGAGGCATCATGGCAACAGAGCAGAGATCAAGGCGGAAGCGAGTGAGCGGGCGCATGGCTCTCCGCTCTTTATGTGCCCCACTTGGTGGCCCCTCATGCCCGGGACAAAGGACTTGTCGTTCCTGTCACGTGGGTCAGCCCCACTTCCTTTAACCTTTCAGTGGCTCTGAGTGACCACATGTTCAGAAAGAAGTGTTTTTCGCACAGCGTAAAGACATGGAACTGCATGGCTAACCATCCCACCCAACCCGGCTGCCTCACCTGGGCATCTCTGGGTCCCACTTTGTCTGTGGCACCTGAAAAAAAGGACATCGTCATTGTCATTGTCATCTGTCACTCAAAGGCCGTGTCCCTCCTCCCCCTCCACTGACCCCCTCATGGCTTGAGGCAGCTGGTCATTTGGAAGAGGCCACAAAGAGTGGGGCAATCTCTCACCCCATGGATGCAGGCAAGAGGGAAATAAACTGTCAGTTGGAACTTTGTTGCATTCCCTAATTTATGCTTTTGAATTAAAGCCTTCCAATTTTCTTTGTGATATAATTTTTTTGTGAGAAGGGTACAGATCTTCACCCCCCCCCCCAAGAATGTGCCCCCTCCTCTTCCTCCTCCTCCTCCTCACCTGTGGGGCCCTGCACGCCAGGGGGCCCCTGGAGGCCAGGTGGGCCGGGAGGGCCAGGGGGGCCCATGACAGTGGTGCCAGGGATGCCGGGGATGCCGGGGATGCCTGGAGGCCCTTGTGGGCCGGGGGGGCCAGGCGGCCCTTGTGGCCCTGGGGGGCCAGGGGGTCCCGCTCGTTTGCCTGCAGAAAGAAAGAAAGAAGGAGCGGGCGTTAGTGTTCCATGATCTTCTGTCCAAGGCTTCCATGGCCAGAATCACTAGGCTGTTGTAGTGTGCTTTCTAGGCTGTATGGCCAACTGTCATGAACACTCGTATTCGGAACAATAAAGATGCCTATTATCTTCACCCCTGTGCGCCTTGGCGTGTTCTTTCAAGCAACGTGTTTTCCAGGCTGTGTGGATCTGATGGGAATCAAGCAAGTGGAGTGCACAACATCCCTGAGGAATGGTGTCCAGGGTGGAAGAAAGAACCAATATCTATTCACCAAGTGGGAAGGAAGGGTGTGATTAGCAAGCTCCTGTTGAGTGTGCTGAGTGGGGTCTATCC